ATATTTAGCCTGTGACCACTGTGTTTTGTGTCTTGTGAACTTGGCAAGGGTGGATGTTTGGCTTGGTCCTCAAAGGTTCCAGAACTTATGGGCAGTTTTTAAGGTCTACATGACACAATATGCATGGCCAGGTATGAACAGGTAAACTGGCACTCTTGATTGGACACTTACTGTTCCCAACACACCATAATATCATTTGTATATCAGTAGTCAAGTGTTCACATTGACAGCTTTTTTCTAAGAAGACATGGTTGCCTAATTACTCAAATGCATGACTGTTACAGAAAATCCATTTCCTTAGTGAAGGACTGCAACCTATCCTGCTTTCCTATCTTCTAATCTTCCCTGGAATGATAGCTAATGGTCTAGCTCGGCCTTCCCCAGCCTACTGTTCTTCAGAGACATTTGTGCCACAACTCCCAGAATTCCCATCCAGCAGGGTCATTGACTGGGAATTTTGGGTGTTGCAATTCAAACATGTCTGGAATATACAAGGTTGGGGAAGACTGGTCAAACTATTGCTGCTTTGCTAGATTCGTCATCAGAAAATCAAGCTTTATGCTTGATCTTATAGAAACAAATGTAAGGATGAGTTTTCAGCAAGCATTTGCTTTTAGAACTGTTGGATGTGTGTGCAAACTACTTTTAAACAAGCCAGGTTTGCTACCTGAAAACATATTTTCCATTCTAGAATCTATTTTTGTCATTCTGCTTAAAAATGAGTGTGTTTGCTTTAAAATATACAGGATACATGATGACAATCAATATTATGAAATTAGTTTTTATTTAAAAAAATTAAATAAGCCCTCTGTTATTAAATACCAAATAGATAGTGGAATGAGATGGGTTTAAAAAAAATACAAGTTTGTTTCAGTTTTCTCGTAAGGAACACAGTTATATAACAGAGTGCATACCAAATTAAAGTACGTATCCAAGCAAACATGCAGCCCAATCCTAGGTATGTTTACTAAGGCCCCCTCCAAATAAGTATTTGTAGGATTTATAGCCTTAAGCACTTTTGTGTTCCATTGATTTTAGTGCAGAGTGATACACCTATTTAAATCTTCCCCACTGAAATCAGTAAGACTCAAAATTCTTTTGGGGCCTGTATCTTAAAATTCAATTCTGTTAAACATCAAAGAGTAAAAATATTAACAGAAATCATCACTTTCAGTGAAACTGTGCCTGAGGTGTTTGCAACTAAAGTTATAACCCTAAAATCTATTTGTAAGCATGTCTGCTCTGAATTTTGCCTATCCTGTTTTGTCAATGTATGATGGTGTGATCCCAAGGACCAATTTTGTCTTCCAAATACCTCTGACCAAAGTTAGTATAATAAACAGAAAAGAATTTACCTAGTGTTCTTCCCAGACTTTAAAAAAAAGATAAGTTGTAGGGACATCGTTTTTGTAAGCTGGGGCTGTGAATGCTAAAATGAAGTTGTAAGTTCAACCAGGGAAAAGGGCAAACTAACTTCAGATGCAGAGAGGATACTGTCTAGCATAAGCTGAACAAGCCTTGTTCGCAAGTGAAGGATCTGGTGCTGCGTTTGTTTTTTCAGTGTTCTTACTTCGTTTTTGTGATTTTTAGTATTTCCTTTGTTATTTTTTGTTTAAATCCAGTTAGTATATTCACAGATTTCTGTACAATGATGCTTTGCAAGGATAACTTATAATGACCAACATTTGGTCAACCCTACTCACTCATTCACTAACAATTGTTTTGAATTGTAAAATAAAAGTGCTTTACTTGCAAACTGTATATAACCTTGTACAAAGTTCCTCACCCCTTTTTCAATTATTACTCTACATGGAGTTGTAACAAATAAATTGATTTTTTTATAATAAACTTGCGTGGAAAATATATTTTGTGCACTGTATTGCTTGTATATAGGAACTTTAAACTATAAAATTGTAAGCATAATGTGAAGGAACCACTGGCTAAAGGGTAGCTGTAACTTGGAGGCTACTTGCTGGCATATAAAAAGCCAATAACTAAACTTTGATCAAATGAAGCACAAAATAAGCTTCCAGGGATAGCTTTGATATTAGATTGTTCTAGCAATAGCATACTACTGCAGTGCTATTTTTCTTTCACTGCTAATTTCAGTAAGAGTTATCATGCTAATCCACCCTGGGTAGATGATTTGGGTATGATATGGGAATAGGACAGAGCATGACAGTCTCTCAATAACCTGGCCTTTTCAGATCCCACGGCTTTGTGCTCAACAAAATATAGTTCAGGTGAGTTAGTAAAATGTGAATCAGTTGCCAATCCTAATGTACACTTTATGAAATCTTTCTTCCCAAAGCAATTTTTACAGAGCTTTCTATTATGCTGCTTTATGTTATTAAACTGGGACTATTTTATATCCTGGAATAAATAGCTTTTCTATTTTGGAATACTATCTACCCACTTATGGCTCTATCTTATCTTAATGGGGATTGCCTATCAGCAGTGTTCTGTGTTCTGTTAACTTAGGCTAGAGTACTGCACTGAACCTTTAAAACTGGAAACTGCATATAGTGAAAACAATTTATTAACTAGTGCTAGGGTATGTGAAAGGACTGCAGGTGGTGCAGTGGTTTAAACCGCTGTGCTGCTGGGCTAGTTGATCGAAAGGTTACCGGTTTGCATGTGCACAATGGGGTGAGTTCCTGTTGCTCCATCCCAGCTCCTGCCAACCTTGCAGTTTGAAAGCATGCAAATGCAAGTAGATGAAAAGGTACCACTTCGGTGGGCAGGTAACAGCATTCCATGCACCTCGGTATTTAGTCATGCCGGCCACATGAGCACAGAGACTGACTGTGGACAAATGCTGGCTCCCTTGGCCAGGAAACAAAGATGAGCACTGCCCCCTAGAGTCAGGCATGATTAGACTTAATGTCAAGGAGAAACCTTACCTTTAGGGTGTGTGAGCATACAAGGCTAGTCTGGATGCACCTGTATTGGTTGCCAAGCTGTTGCCAAGTCAAATTCGAAGTACTGGTTTATTGTAAACAGATTTCTGTGCACTTAAGCGATTCCTTGAAGAAATCCTCTGTGCTATAACAGTCTAAGGAGTTTGTTTTACAACATGTTGTTTTAGTGTTGATTTTTTAAAAAATGTGTAAACACCATGAGATTTTTAATGAATTGATGGTATAGAAGATTTTTAAATACACCCACCTACAAATGTATGTCTTTGCATTGCTACCCTTTTGCAACATGGGAGCAGCTCTGGGTGAATAATGGCAGAATGGGTGTCCACTGGCTAAGTCCAGCAGGAACTTACCCTGGCAAGCCCCCCTCCAATGGAGCAGGTAAGTAAATCCCTCTTCATATGCATTAGACAAGTGTCAGGAGCCAACCTGTCAAAATTTTGCAAATCTTTGATTAAATCTTGCAAGTGAAAGTGGGTTGACATAGTGATGGGCCCCCTTTCTAGCAGCATCTTGTGTTTTGAGGGATCATATGGCTGCAGTGTCCTCTCAATTTTGTTAGTGTCCCTGAGATACTATGGTTGGTTCTAGATCAAGGATTCTTGGATAACACAATCAAAAAGCACTGTGTGAGCAGCTACTCCATCTTTTACTTGTGCAAGGTGTTCCTCCTGTCCTAGAAACAAAACAAAAAAAGTTGGAAGTATGAAAACAGAAAAGGGGTACATATTGAAGCTACAGTGGGACCTATATCACTCCTCCCCTTTATTAAATTCCATTAATGAAGCAATGCAGTTGTGCAATAAAAGCCTGATCCAAAAGCAAGCTGGAATTGGCTGTGATTTCCACACTATGATACATTTGTTGACCAATTGTTAAATTGATGTTGTTGTTAGTCGCGAAGTCGTGTCTAACCCATCGCGACCCCATGGACAACATTCCTCCAGGCCTTCCTGTCCTCCACCATCTCCTGGAGTCCACTTAAGCTCACACCATCTGCTTCAGTGACTCCATCTAGCCACCTCATCCTCTGCCGTCCCCTTCTTCTTTTGCCATCTATTGTTCCCAGCATTAGACTCTTCTCCAGGGAGTCCTTCCTTCTCATTAGGTGGCCAAAGTTTTTGAGTTTCATCTTCATTAAAAAGCCAAGGTGCAACATTGCTTCTTTGCTTGGTTTCTTTCATCAGAATTGCAGAATATGATACTGAAGCTGTACAAGCATTTCAATGTTACCACAATTATCTCAACAGAGATCATTTTAATTGCCTACATTTGCTTAATTGTTTGAAAAATCTTAAAATATAATTACAATATAAAGAGAGTGATACATGTTTGAAATAAGTGAAAAATATCTTTTGGAGTAAAAGGCTATTTTCAATCAGATTCTAGGATTAAAAAATGCTACAAAGGAGAGAACAAAGTAGATTCCTAAGTCTGATGCAACTGGTGAACAAGAATACACACAAAATATTTAAGTTGGCTGTTTATTTTTTATTGCTCACATTCCTCTGTACTGATGATCTATGCTTAGACGGATAGCAGGAGCTTGTCCATTTAGTTTAATTTTGGGGTCAATATTTCTTGAATGACAGTCAAGTGTGCATTTCTCTTTCCAGAAAAATGTTGATAGCAAATTAAAAAGCAAGCCAATATGGGTGATAGCTCAAATCAAAAGCAGATTTTAAATATAAGCCATTGGCCTTTGCATAATGGCTCTTGCTAAAGAAAATCCTTCTTATTCTAACCCAACAACATGGAGACACAGAGAGAGAATCAGAAACAGGCATTTTTGCATGGCTGAGGTTTACAGCCCAAATGCTAATTACTACCAGGCACTCCCTTTTAGCATCCTCATCCATTCAGTGAAGTGGCAGAATTAAACCACGCAGAAGGGGCAGATCAAGAAAACATCATAAATTCTCCCACTCAGGTTTCGCTTGGGTGGATCAACTGTACATAATGCAACTATTACTATTCTTTGTTAATATTCTGTAGCATTTCAGTAATCCCAGACCAGCCTGGAGGCCACACTGAAGATGAGATAAAACAAGGTGGAGAACTAAGGCCCTGATCCAGTAGCTGGTTCAGAACACAGATTTACACCTTTTCGGTAGGGGAAAAAAAGTATGGTACAGCAAAGGAAAGACAATGAAGCTAGATAACTGCCTAGCTTTTCAAGGTTTTTTACAATTGTTTTAGGCATGATATAATTAATACATGCAGAGGCACACTTAGGAGCACTAAGCATGGAAAGAGGAATATGCCATTTTCTTAAATGCTCCATTCCCAGGGCTGCAATTTTTCTTAGCTGTACAGCAGTGAGAATCTCAACAACTGCAGTTATACTATTACACAAATGATTGGAACAATTACAGAGTACAACCCTTTTAATTATACCAGTTCAGATGGGTAGTTTCATAACTGAAAGTTCACCCGTATCTGCCTTACATACAGAAAATTAGGAAATCAGATTAAGCTAGACTCCCACCTATCCTTGCTTTGGTAGTTTTTGTATGTGCAGGCCATTTTTAGATGGGAAACTATTCAAATCTATCTCCCTCTACCTGGTCTGAAGTGGCATACCATATCATTTTCTCCCATTGTGTTTCAGCTCTTCAAGTGCTCCAGCACCAAATTATTTCTGATAACATTTTGTTTTCTGTGTGCTATTAAAAAACCTCATTGAAAGACCTCAAGTCTAGACCTCTTTCCTCTGACTTCCTTTTTGGTCCATTTTGTTGTTATTTTCCACTTAACACCTTTACAAATGCATCAAGATATTTATCTGACTGAGCCAGCATCATCAAAATGTGTTAAGCCAAAAAGCTAAAAGTTAACACAGAACTGGCAGATCATGAACCAGGTATCATTGGTGTGCACTTAGTTCCAAGCTGAACAGCTCCCTTGCAAAATGAAAATGGCTGCAAGATGCTGCTGCTCTTCTTAGCGCCTAGCTGAGCATGCTTCCTCTAAATGAGTTCACCCGGCCAAGTAGCAGTAGCAGCGGCCGCTTGCGGGCAGAGGCTAAGAAGCAAATAAGGGGACTAAGGGGCACTGGGATAAGGAAGATGGTGCTGATGCTTCATCTGGTTCTTCTCTGTTAAAGAAAGAACTACAAAGGGGAGAGAGAATGGCAGCACCAGTGCCATTGGGACCTCATAGGCATGGGCTTTGACATTTGCCCCATCATGCTAAGTACTGACTGTCAGTGTCTGCTAGGACCAGTAAAATACACTTTGTCATCAGAAAAGCACAGGGTCTTCTTTGAACTTGCACTCCAATGTCCATGTCAATATGAGAGCGTGAGGGTGCAATTCTATGTATGTTAAACAGAAAAAAACCCTCAGTTCTCAGCATGCTACAGCCAGCATGGCTGGCTGAAGGGATGCTGGAAGTTGTAGGCCATTTTTCTGTCTAAACATATATAAAATTGTTCTCCATATCCTTTAAAGTGTTGGAAAGGATGATCTCTATAATTCCTTATCCCAAATAAATGACTCTAAGAAACATCTCCTGAAGAGCACATTAGTTCATTATTCCACATCTTCATCTGGTAATGCTAAAGCTTTTTCCTGGAAATGAAGAAGAAACTGAATCAGTGATCTTTATACAGTTCTGAATGTTTTTTGGTTTCAATTCACAACACAGCAAAAGCTTCTCTAGTAAAGAGAGTCCAGAATGTGCATTGAGAACTTAAAAAAAGAATGCACAACTTGTAACAAGCTATCACAAGAGCTCTCTAGAAAACATTCTGTCTCTCATTTCTCCATTATTCTTAATATTTGGGGTAGGTAGTACGCAGCCCATAGGCCACTTGCGCACAGGAATCCCTAACCCACTGAAATTGAAAGGCACAGCACCAGCAGAGACAAACAATTGACAAACCACTGACGTTGCCAATGAGGCAATTTAGCTTGTAAACTAATCTCCCTTTTCACTTGTAGCTTGCTGACAGAATCCAGCAGTAAACTGCCAGAATGTAGCAAATATTCTTCCTTTTCAGTTGTAGCTTGCTGACAGAAGTAGCAAGTAAACTGCCAGTGTTTTGTGTCTGTGCTGCCGAATTTCAGCAGCATTAGAGGAACTGTTGCCTTTGGGCTAGAAATTGCACCTCAAAGTTGTCCACCGATGATAGTCTGCTGTATTAGCCAAAAAGATATCAAGGTAGTGTACAGCAATTAAACCTTAAAACAAGTATTCCATGTTTTGGGAATGATACACCTGACAAAAAAACCTTTCTGGGTCATGACACATGCCTCTTCTGCAGATCTTAACACCTTAGGTTACTAACATGCTGCTCATGGCTTTAAGGTTAGAACCTACACCTTAAACTGAGTTCTGAAAGCAACTGGCAAGGGATGCAGGTATGGTCCAGGTACTGCGTACTGCTTAGCACCAGAGCTGCTTTTCAGCCATGTGTGAAGGAGAGATTCAGGTAAGGCAGTAGCTGAGGCCACATACTGAGACTCCACCTTAAGCCTTCCTCTGCCAAACAGAAATCAGTCTCCAGTTTGCACTACTGGAGCAAAGGGTTGGTGCCTATCCTAGAAAGTGGAGATAAGCTCTTAGCAGTGGAAGGTTGGCTACTGATCCCCTCAGGTATCTGATGGCAGGCTGCTTGGTGATGAGGCAGGCACTGCAAGCTCCCATGGTGTTGGGCAACCATGGGCATTAACTTTAAGAAACTCGGCTAGTTAAAGTTAGACAAGGCAGGAAAACTGAGTGCACAAATGAGCTTGACAAAGGAATGTATCCTGCAAAGCACAGAATCATAGAGTTGGTAAGGACCATGAAGGACATTGGGTCCAAGCCCTGCTGTTGCAGGATACCAAGTTACAGCATACCACCCAGACAGCTGACCAGTTTCTTTTTGAATGTGTCTAGTGTGGGAGAGCATACTCCAGCCCTGAAGTGATTTCTCCCAGTAGGATCTATGCAACAGTTCTAGGTACAGTTCAGGAATTTCCTATTTTTTGTACATTTGGTAAAGTTGTAATTCTGATAAACTTTGGACTCAGTGTTTCCTTTCCAAGTTCATCCTTTTGAGATTCATGATGAGTCACTGCAAGACCACACATTTTTTATTTTGTAAGTATTTCAAAAACTGCTGCTGATTCTATCAGCAGAACTTTAAGTCACTGTTATGTCCAACCTCACACTCAGGGTTCATTTGAGGTCTTTGTTTTTATTCTATAAAGACCAAAGCTCTTCAAGTCCTCAAGGTCCAGCCTGCACTGCACTGCTTCGATCATTTGTTTCATTTCCCTGCACCAAGAGGAAAGGTCCCATGCTGCTATTGCTTGCTTCCAGTTTTTCCCATCTACACAAGGACTACATGGGTTTTAAAGTTTCATAACAGTTTAAGTGTCATAAAAAGTAGCATCCATGTTGGATCAGATAAGCACCTATCTAGGCAGCCATTCTTTTCCAACTGTGGCAAAGGAAATGCCATACCACCTCCCTGCAACTTGTACTAAGACACGTACGTGCCAATTCTGATAGTGAAGGAAATGAATGGCCATCATGACCAATCAATCAATTTCCATTAATTTGGACAATCTTGTATTAAAGCCATTCATGTTGATGGCTGCCTGTTGAGGACTCTCCCGGGCCTCATCAGAGAACTATTGTTCTCAAGATTCCCTCAGGGTGAGAATACTTGCTAAACTGATTTTGATCTAATCATGAATTAGTGATGCTAAATGCTAATTCCTCCTCATGGTCTCTGTGTATCACACATATGGCTCAGCACCTGCATGGAGCCTGTTGTTGGGAAGTTTCAGAGCCCAGATGTGTGAACATACAGGTAACCACTCAAGGAACAACACTTACAGGTAAGCAACCTGACTTTTTAAATGGGCTCAGTCAGACAAGGCAGGAAAACTGAGTGCACAAATGAGCTTGACAAAGGAATGTATCCTGAGGGTTATAGATGAAATGCACCATTCTGCAACATCATTCAAATTAGGAACCTCAGGTTGAAAAGATGTTGAATCAGCAAATATGCAAAGCACAGAATCATAGAGTTGGAAACAAGATCTCTCTTGGACTGGCTGTATCATTGGGATGTTCATAGATCAATATTATTTAGAGTCTGTGCAGAAGGGAACCCATAAAAAACTCTTACCCAACCACCTTGGCTAGAGATCCAAGGACTGAATTTTTCTTTCAGGTATTTTGTTCCAAAACCCAACACAATGTTCATGGGATGTCTGTCCATATTGGTGAGTCTGGCTGTAAGTTCCATAGCAAAGGCAACTTTAGTACTCTGATCTTGGACTTCATGATTTGCAGCCAAATTTACAGTTACTTCCTCTAGGAACTGATCAGCAACTTTCCTGAAGAATGCATAGGACAACAAGTCCGAGATACACTGAGAGAAAGTCTTATCTTTTTGCATCTGAAAATAGAACAGACAAATGAACATTTGTCAAAGAGAGCAAGCAGAGGAAGATTTACCCTGCCAGGTTGTGTCATGGATGGGGAAGGATTGGAGCCTGATTTTCATGTCCAAGAACCTATGCAGTGCACTTCCCTTTTACAAGTACACAAGCCATGTGCCTCAAATTCATTGTTAAAAACCTGCCTACTGCCCTTCTCCACGTCTAGTGACTTTTTGCAATCACTTAGTCCATTTGTTTCTTCAAAACTGCTGCCTGCTGCTCTGACCTCAAGCAGATCTGATGCTGCCTTATGGCATAACTCCCCCCCCACCCAACACACACACACACTACCACTGCCCTCAAATGATTTTACTTGAGTTCCAGATTTGCAACCATCTTTTTCAGGGATAGAAAACTTCTCTTTTCTGGGACAACTACTCCATTCTCTAGAAAACTGACCATGCAAATAAGCTTTGAGAGTTTGACACAATCTGCAGACAACTATGCCAAATCTATCCGCCAGGGAAGTTTTTCCCCATTCTCTTGCTCTGGAAAATGTTACTCCCTTGCCACATTTTCCACATTCTAACACCATTTTAAGTGTAGCCTAAGAAAGAATGAGCTGACATGATTTCACAAGATTTAAAATAAATAAAAGCAAGGGAAAAGAACAGAAGAGGATCTTCTGCTTTAGGATTCATACTACCTGTAAAAAGCAAGTCAAAGAGTAAAGGCTCCCTCCCCAAATTGGGTACCTTATCCTGTAGTTCATCTCCTGATTTTCTTAGCAAGGCAACTATTGTGTCAATTATTTTTGCTTCCTCATCTGATGAAAGACAATTAAATAACATAGTTAATCTTCTAATCTAGCCAGACAATAAATAGTTATTAAAATAATAAGATTATAGACAGCTACAGGAGATGGTCAATAAAAATTGTTAAATGTTCAATAAAGTACATCAGTAAGTACTTATAGGGGAAGCACTTAAGGAAAGTGCAGTGTATTATTTCAGTAATCCTTAGACACCCTTGCAAGCAACTGCCTCAGTGGAGGCCATCAATGAGGATGACGGAATGGGTGACATGTAGGGGCATCATTCACTGGGAATTCTCAATCAGCAATGCTGGGAAAAGGCAGGTTGCTTACCTGTTACTGTCATTCTTCGAGTAGCCATCTGTGCACTCACACATATGGGTGCTGCGCCTGTGCAATGCCTGTAGCTGGGAAAATTCAAAAGCTTAACTGTTTTGGCAGGAACTCTGCGCCCCTCTCCCCCTCTACAGAATAAGAAGGTGGAGGGCCTGCCATTCCCTCAGTTTACAGAAGACCGACCATTCGCCCCAAAGTGGAGGCTGCAAGCATTACACATTCATATTATACTTAAACTTGCTCTCAGTCAGACACACAAGGTAACTATGGAAAAAAAACATGCAATCGCATAGTCAAGCTGGTGCATTAAACACAGTCACCAACACCGAGTGGCACCAGCATGGGGGGTTTGAAATTGGTGGGTGGAGATTCTGTAGTCCTCCCACGAAGCGCCGGACAAGGACATTGGAAAACTGTGATGAGCCCAATACTGGGCCACGGTAATGCAAAATAGCTGCAATGTAGACCTTAATGGAGGAAGGTTTCAGTCCAGTCTGATGTAGAAACAGGAGAAATTGGAGAATGTTCTCAATGGAAGCCAACTGAGAGGCTAAATGGTTGGTATCACCAAACAAAGTAAGGTGCCTCCATTTAGCTGCATATGAACGGTGGGTAGCAGGTCTTAGCACAGATTGAAGAATGAACTGTATGTTGGGATGTAGAGCGCTCGGATTCGATGAAGAATCATTCCATGGTGTTGGAGATGAAGATACGGCCGTGGCAGAGGGCTGCCAGGTCAGTGTCGAATACGACAAAGCTGTAGGTCGGTAGGTAGGCAGGTAGCCAGGCAGCCAGATTCAACGAGTGGAGGTCTGGATGCTGAACTGCTCCGTCTTGTGGAGTTAGAAGATGTGGAATCTGAGGAAGCCACTGAAAAGTGTTCTTGGAAAGACGAAGGATAGTGGGGAACCATGGTTGACGAGGCCACCAAGGAGTGACAAGGATCCCTTGAGCATCGTCCTGATTGATTTTGGCTAAAGTCCTTGTAATTAGCGGTACTGGGGGAAACGTGTAGAAAAATCTGTCTGTCCATGGAACCATTAGAGAACCAACTGAGTTCGGACCGATGCCCACTTAATCTTAAAGACCGCATTGTTGTGTGTGGCAAAAAGATCTGTCCGGAAGACACCATAGTTGGAAGAGACGATGACAGACTTGGGGATCCAGCTCCCACTCATGAGTAGTTGACATTCGTCTGCTGAGGACATCCGCTTCCTCATTGTCAGTACCGGCATGGTGACTGGCAAGAGAAGTGATTCCCCTCAGGATGCACCAGTCCCAAAGTCGAAGAGCATGATGAGGTAGGCGGGCAGGCTTCGTGCAGCCCTGTTTATGTAGAAGACCATGACAATATTGTCCGATGCTATTTGAATGACTCAGTCCCGAAGGGCATTCTTGAAGGACTGAAGGGCTTTGAATACTGCCAAGAGTTCTAGGTAATTGATGTGTCTGGATGTCTCGTGGCTGTGCCAGGTGCCTTGAGTGTGAAGGCCGGCACAAAGAGCTCCCCAATCCATGAGGGAGGCATCCATGTACAGAGTCAATGACGGTTGAGGTAGATGGAACAAGGTTCCGATGGATAGATTGTCCTCCGCCATCCACCATGTCAAAGTCCGAAGGATGGAGGTAGGCAGGTGAAGCAGACAATGTGAAGAGTTGTGCTGTGGGTGGAAGAGGCAACTGAACCATAGTGGCAGCAGCCTCATCCGCAGCCTGGCACTGGGGATCACGGAGACCATGGAAGTCATGTGGTCCAGTAGTTTCTGGATAGACAGAGCAGGCACAGTTCTGTCCTTGTGGATTTAGTGAACAGACGAGTTAAGTTTCTCCTGATGATTCCGAGGAAGAAAAGCTCATGCACACAGGGAATTGAGACGGGCTCCAATGAAGTCGATGATCTGTGAAGGAACAAGGCAGGATTTTTCATGGTTAATACAAAGTCCAAGATTGTCAAGGAGGGAACATGTTGCACAAATAGCTGATAGAAAGTCTTCTCTAAAAGAGGAGATGATCGATCAGTCGTCAAGGTATGAGTAGACATGGATTTCTTACAGCCTCAGGTGGGCACAGACAGGAGCCATGAATTTTGTGAAGACCCTTGGTGCACTAGCAAGCAAGAAGGGAAGAACATTAAACTCAAAAAGATTGGAGCTGACTGTAAAACGAAGCAGCCGACTGTGAGATGGATGGATGCTGATGTGGAAGTAAGCATCCTTCAAGTCCAGAGATGTGAACCAATCCTCTATCCTGAGCAACGGAAGGATATTTTGAAGGGTGGTCATTCGAATTTTTTTCATTTTGATGAACTTATTGAATCCACGTATATCCAATATCGGGTACAGACCACCATCCCATTTCGGGACCTTAAAATATCTCGAGTAAAAACCATGGAGCCCCTCGG